AACTAGTAATCACTTTAAGAAAAGAAGAAAAAAAAAAGAAATATCTCCAATCCTTGCCTGAATCAAACTATTTTTGTTCAGTGACATAAACAGGATTTCATATAAGCTTAATAAAGACACTAAAGACTGTTGCAGTTGCTTCTTAAGTGCTGATTTCATAAAACATCAGCTATGGAGTTTTATGGTGGTTCATTGCTCAGGCAACTCAGCAATCAGTTGCTGCATGACTCACTGAAATGCTATTGTACTGGAGAAAGGAACTTCTCTAACATGGTTATACTTTGTGACTGCTGAGTAAAACTGTGTGGGAATGGTTAGGAACTGATACCACAGTGCCTTTATGTAATTGCTGCTCAAACTACATATCCTTTGTAATATGAAATAAACTATTTCGGAGATGAGCAGTCTGTAGCCTGCAGCTGTCATGCATATGCAGCCTTGGAACTTTTGCCATCTTTTGATTGAATTTCAACAGACTTGAAATTGATTTCCCTCACAGAAATTGCATTTATCGTGTTTTCCTTTGCAATGACTCTGCTTGATTTCATTGCTGAGTTGGCTGTGGAATCTCCAAGAGTGACAATTCTGATGTGTATAATCTGATGTGGCTCCAGGGTTCATGGCCACTATGGATCTGACTCAACGTATTGAAGGATTAACACACACAGGAGCTAAAGAATGGGAGGCCCGATGTTACAAGACTTCTCTTTTTTGGATGGGCAGTTCCAGTCATGGGCAGTGTTGATAGGTGGTCCAAATCAGATCCCTGATTTACTGGATGTCTCAGGGATTGATACTCTTACCTTTCTGTTTAATAAGTTATTTAATACATAAAATGGTTAGGAGAGGTCATCTTTTACCCATCAGGTACCATCAGTATTCTGATGATACTCAGCAGTATATCTCAATTCCTGGCCAACCAAATGATGCTGTCAATTTTGTGGTCCAATACCTGCAGTTGTTCAGGACTGGATAAGACCAAGTGGCTTAGCTGCATTTTTTTCTGATACCAGTAATTTTGTCTCTTTAGTTTTTTTTTTTCCCCTAAGACCTTCATTGCTACCTTTCTAGATATTAGCCTACAACTAGGTTCCTCTTGGCTGCTGGTTCCGTTACTGTTGACAGTTGATCCTAACATTTATATTATTGTGTATGATAATTGTTACTTGTGTTAAGTTTATAGTGTGTTGTATTATATTTCTGTTTCTGAGCTTCTAAGAGTCAGCATGATTGAAGCAACATTAAACCAACAGAAATTTAAAAAAAAATCAAATGTGATAGAAAATAAAGGGGATTTTCTTGGATGCTAAATTATCTTCAGAATGCAACAGTCAGAACCAGGCCAATATCACATTATAAATCTTATAAGCTTCAAGCAATATCTTTCTACAAAAGGATACATGGTTTGCTTGTTTCTTGTTCACTAGATTATAAAGAATTAAGAACTCAATTCAATACACATTGGTTATTTATTTAGCATTAAGTTGAATATATGAGTTGGAGTCATGCAACTCATGACTAAATGCATTATGTTTTTCATTCATTAAGTGTTAGTGATCTACAAGTTTTGGTGGGAGTATTTGATCTTTAAAGTCATACATATGAGTCCCTATGTTTTCATATCCTGAGAAGTATCTTCCTCAGGTGAATTAGCAATAACAATAGCATTTACACTTATATACTGCTTCACAGTGTTTTATAGCCCTCTCTAAGCAGTTTACAAAGTCAGCATATTGCCCCCAGCAATCTCGGTCCTCATTTTACTGATCTTGGAAGGATGAAAGGCTGAGTCAACCTTGAGCCTGATGAGATTTGAACTGCCAAATTGCAGGCTACAGGCGGTCAGCAGAAGTAGCCTGCAGTACTGCACTCTAACCACTGTGCCACTGCAGCTCAATTAGTTTATTTGGATCACAATCTGGCAATTAATTACATGGAAAAATGGCATTCTATGTACTATCCTAGTTTTAAAAGTTGGGTTGGTTTTTTAAAAAAAAACCATAAATGTTTTATTTAAATGTTCTTAATACCAATAAGAATAATTTATTTTATTGAAACAAATGTTTTCGTCTTCCCTTGGTAAGTTAAATATCTCCATAGGACTTCCTCTGTTACATATCCACACAAAACTATTGCCTCAAAATAAATTCTAATATGCTTCTGAGACATATTCTCCACTAAAATACCATCAGTATTGTTTCTGTATTTGGCTCCAGATATATAGAATTTATCATTGGTGATAAAAATATATATATATTTTTGGGGTGGCACCATATCAACATCATGAATGTTTAACTTACTTTCACAGTTCAATGAAATCTGAGGAAAAAAGCTGTTCTAGCCTTAGTTTATCATTTAATGTCCTCCCTTCAATTCCTAACAATAACTTATTGATCCAAATTTCTCATTGACAGTTGCAGTTGTAGAGGGGGGAGAGGGGGGCGCAGTTACCGCTCCTGAATTGGAGTACCTTGGACTTACTGACCAAAATATGCCAAAATTAACTAAGATTATAGTTAAGATTAACTATAATATGACAAGAGTGCTACCAAGACTAGTGAAGTAATTGCCTCTGTCTTACTAAAATACATTACAATATATGAAGGTCTCGATTGATCAAAGGCATAGAGCAGGGGTGTCAAACTCACAGCCCATGGGCTGGATGCGTCATGCGCTGGCCACACCCACCCTGATTTAGTGAAGGGGAAAAGTTGCGATATGTCACGTGATGACAACCTGTTGTCGCAGTTTGACACCCCTGGCGTAGATTATGATAAAGTTCAATACTGCATCACTGAGCACAGCTGAAGGCAACCAAGGCATAAATTAGTTAGTGATGTGCAATGTAAGAATAGTAAATGCTAAAGAGCATTAATTAACAAATGCAATAAAATAGATATGTACTGTATCTGCAAAACCAAGAGGAAGAAAAGGATAGAACAGTTCTAAATGATCTATAGAGCTAATGAATGCACAAGGGAAAGGAAGCTATAATTTAATTATGAATGAAAGGGCAAAAATATATGCCATAAAGAATGGATTGGGGTCATCTAGTTTAGGAAGCCATAGTTTGGTGATAGTGACATGTTAGAGCCCAGTAAATATGGTAATAGAACTAGGAATGGCTTTGGAGGGGAAATGTGCAATATTATGATTATTTTTTGTTTTGTTTTTTCCTTTCCCTTTGTACTTCCATTATTCAGTATTACAAAATCAGAATCTTCTGTTTAGCAGTAAACTATAAAGTCCATCTTCTGGCTTGGGCTATATATTTAGATTTATATTTTACTGAACCTTCTCCTCATTCTTTAGAGCAGGGGTGTGAAACTCGCAGCGTCACGTTGTCATGTGGCATATCATGACTTTTCCCCCCTTCGCCAAAACAGGGGTGGGGGTGTTCAGCTCATGACACATCTGGCCTGCGGGCCACGAGTTTGACATCCGTCATTCTTTAGAGGATTGCTGTATGTAAAACATAACCTTAACTTGCTTCATAGTGTTGGGCACCACAAGAATATAATTTGATGGACACAGGTTTCTCTTTAAGTTCTTTAATACATGCTTTGCCTTTATGACTAAGAAAGGACAGAAATAGTTGCTTCATTTCCTTGTGGATCTTCACAGTCCAAATAAGATGTCTGTTTTAGAGATCTACTGGGTAATTAAAAGGCAGAGTATATGGGGATTAAGTTTATGCTTTCAAAGGAATTCTGGCATATCTGCAATAGCAAGCAGAAAATTAAGATTCTATAAAAAGGGCAAGTTTAATTTAACAGGGCATTATGTTGAACCTCTGATTTATTATAAATTCATCAGCTGGAATCTCATGGATGACTAATGACTGTCAGGAAGAACTTATAAACAGCCTCTAATATTCTAACTAACAGTGTATACTAATGCATTCTTTTCATTATTTGGCTGCCACCTTGCATTTAATACAATTATGCATTAGCTTCTTGAAGCTGAAAGATATCTAAGTTGTGACATTACATTCTGAGAGTCAACAAAGTGACAAACTCCAATAAGTAAGTTATAAAGCTATATGTGCTTTCTCACGTTGGATGTCATGAAGTCAATTATCTAATTATTATATTGCCCTTGAAAATGCAGGTTACAGATTCATAGTCTGCTCTCCATTCTCCCTTCATTCATTCTGTTGGTACTCACAACATTTTATGATTGGTCTGTTGTGCATTCAACTGGTTCATTAAAAATGGCTTTAAACACTAATTACCCAAGGTTGTTGTCCATATTGCTATTAGCAACATTCTTATTTGTTGTTATTGATTGGTTGTGACTGAAAAGCAATATAGAAAATAAAAGATAGCACTTAGACTTATATACCACTTCACAGTACTTTTGCAGCCCTCTCTAAATAACACGAAAATCAGAGGTAAAATGGCTGAAATCAATATTTCAGTGTCTCCTTATTGAATAATTTGTACAGGAAATGCGGGTAGAAACTTTGCAATACTAATTGTTGAATGTACAGCACTTAAATCTTATATCCGAAATTGAATTATTGCCTATGAATTGTACAAAAATAAGCTTAAAAATAAAAGGGAAAATGATCTGAAAGGTGAATTGAATGGGCACAGATGATTAGATGTCTGTCTATTAACTTGTACAGAGAAAAACTAAAGAAGAAATACAAACTAAGTACTATAATAGCACAGAAGACAGAATTCACAGTAACATAGTTACAAATATATTACAAATATAGAAATATGGGGAGAATGGTGAAAGATCTGGTAAGATGTTGGCTAATCATTTAAAGCCAAAGAAAGATAGAGCAATGGTTTCAATTATTGGAAGGAAGGAAAGAAAGAAAGGAGGGAGGGAGGGAAGAAAAAGAAAAGAAAGAAAAGGAGAAAGAAAGAAAGAAAGAAAGAAAGAAAGAGAAAGAAAGAAAGAAAGAAAGAAAGAAAGAAAGAAAGAAAGAAAGAAAGAAAGAAAGAAAGAAAGAAAGAAATCATAAACTCTGTCTCCTTCCTTACCAGGGCACAGTCTTGCAAAGGTGGCTCGTGCACAGACATTTCCCAGCTACACCTCAGAACAGAGTGAGGAGCATGAGCCACGCCTGTCCCTTTCCAGCAGCTATGGATTCAGCTACAGCTCGGACCTTGTGCAATGACACACATCTGGTGTTTGAACAGAGAGACACTCTAACGTGGAACCTACCTGCAAGCCCTGGAAGCCATTGATCTTTCCTTGGGTGTCCCAAGAAGACAGTTGGTAGTGAAGACCGAGAAGTCTCCCACCTGATGACAGTGGAAGTGAAAGCTTGGATCACTGCTTCCTTGAGGCAGAAGTCTAAGTCTTTTATTTATTTAAATTTTATAGTTGTTTTTGTCCATGTTTTTTTAAAAGAAGAATTCCCTTGAAAATCATGGATGTATGCAGTCGATGTTTCTGCATAACCACAAACATTGTGTGCTCTAAGAGGGTGGATGTCATGTTTGCAATATTAGGCTTTTGATCAACTCTGCCATCAGATCTGCTTGTCCATGACAGTAACCACTTTTATCTCCAAGGCATCAGCCTGGCTCATTCTTACATGTTACAAAACTTCAAAGGGTTTGGAAGGCTTCCTTCCAATAATTATGCACATTTTAGTCCCATTAACCTCCATGGGATTTATGCATGTCTATCTTTAGGACAATAGCCTAAAGTTTCACTTGTGAGAAGAAGCCAGTGATTCTTAATCAGATTCTCATTATTAAAATTAATACCCAAGATAGATAAATAGATAGATACTGTCAATGGGATGGCATGGTGATGCTTAGTAGCCTTTCAGAAAATAGATTGTGTCGTGTTATTAAGAGGTAATTTGCCTAGAATATTTGCCACACTGAATTTTTATGCCCAGATTCGCTCTTATCTATGTGCATTCTGAACCTAATAATCCACAGCTTTCTACTGGGAACAGTGGTTATAGATGTCAAGGAAGACCGTGTTTACAATGCACTTGTCAAAGTCTTCCTTTTGTAGATAATTTTTGGATAGTTGAATTCGTAGTCAGTATACTTTTAACCCTGTATACTGTGCAGGTAAGAATTGACATCACATTACTTGATGGCAGCCCAACATTCCATAGTTTTAGACAGCAAGATGCCTGTCTGGTAGAATAATTTCAAGAGCAGTTGTTTTTATGGAGGTCTTTTAGGCAGCAACATGGATTTTCTCTCTTCCTTATATAGCACAGGTGTCAAACTTGCAGCATCACGTTGCCGTCATGTGATGTATCGCAACATTTTTTCCCTTCATGGAGCTGGGGTGGGCGTGGCCTGTACATGACGCATGCGGCTGTGGGCCACCAGTTTGATACCCCTGTTATACAGCATTGATTTTGTGGTGGATTCCCTATACTAATATCTTACTCAGTTTTACCCAGGTCATACATAGAGATCCATTTTGCACTTACATTTTATTACAGGTAGTCCTCACTTAACAACCACTGTTGGGACGGGCAAGTCTGTCACTAAGTGATGTCGCCTGTAAGCAAAGCATCATGTGACTGCAACTTGCAATTTCCTGCTAGCTTTTCCATTGACTCTGCTTGTCAGCTGTGAAGTGAACAAATAACAATACACAATGATCGTAGGAATGCTGTAACAGTCACAAGCCTGTGGCAAGCGTGTGTGGTCAAAGTTATTTGTTCAGTGCTGTTACTACTTTGAATGGTCAATAAACAGGGCACTTGTTAAGTGAGGATTATCTGTAAACAATGACTTTTTAGTCCTTCCTACAGTCAGTCGCACGGAACTGGATTGTTTAAAACTGTAGAGTCTTTTATTGGCATATTTTGCCTATTTCAAATTTTTCCAATTCTATAAAACAAATGCCAATAGCAATGAGTAGAAGAAGTGAAACTATTGACGATCTGAGTAAGTTTTTCAAAACAATATTTTTGAAATTTAACATGTGTCATGGTTATACTAATTTGTCAGATTTAACTCCATTTCTTCAGGTTTTTCATCAATACAATATCATTTGTTGTCACCCATCATTTGTTACAATTGAATATTATTCCATACCAAAACCAAAATCTTGCAAACTGAGGATGTCAACATTGAAAATATTATCATTGATTATCTTTAAGCACTAAAGAAAAGGAACACAAAAAAGGGTCTTATCCAGTTGATCTCTAAAGCAAGTCTGGCCATTTGGAATGCAAACTACTTAGAGGTGCATTTTTAACTACTTTGAATTGAATTTAGAAACAAACCAAATTAGATCAAAGAAATATTTAAACTTGAAACACATGCCTCACATAATAGTCCCCTTGCCAAAAGAATCTGGCAATGTTATTCTGCATTCCATACAATGTTTGAATGTCTGGTATCACCCTTCAGGATAAAAGAGGTTCTTTCTTCATTTTTGCCTATGGTCCAATTCTAAATAGATTAAAATAAAATACAGTCACAGTCACAATGGTGGTAAATGCTCATGTGCAATTTATCTAAGGTATCAACCTTGAAGTCATTTCCATGGTAGAACAAGGCCAGAAGAACTAAAATAAAATAAGGCTTTGTATTGGAGCACATCCAAAGTATGGATCTTCTCCCCCACAGGCATATACTCAAGAACGTTATTTTTGAGGCAGCCTGAACTTTTGCTAAATGTTGTGACTTGCAAATAAATTGCATAGAAAGAAATCAAGTAGGGTCCCCACCCATTTATGAGATGAACTAACCCTCACGCTGGCCATTAAAATGAGATGTATAAGAAATCAGTTGAGATGTAGGCATGGTGAAACAAAAATGAAAGCAAAAAGAGATTTTCCCATCCAGGATCTTTAATCCTCCATAAATGTTGTTAAAACAAACACATATGGTAAGCAATCGTCAGAAATTATTTCCTGCCAGCAGACTGCTCCATCGTTGAAGTTTCTGCTTTTCATTGTTTTATCAAACCAGCACAGAACGTGTTGAAAGGAAGAGAATCGAGTTTCCCATTCCACTAAAAGATCAAGTTTTATCTACCGCAGTTTGATGGAAAGAATTTTGCTTTTATTCCTTTTGTAAACAATGTGAAGGAAATGTCTACTTCAATTAAACATTTATTAATACATTACAGTGGAAGATTTTTCTTACCCAAGCTTTTCTTGCAGTCAATCCCTTGAAGGTTTATACACCTCAGTGAAGAGCTGCTGAATGAAACTAGTGGGTGATCTGATGAAATTAATCACTCTTCCTTCCACGACAGCATCTCTTCCCCTTATTTTCTTTTATCTTGCTCGCCATGTTTCCACTGACCAGACAGAACAACTTCCTCTGCAGGAGAATGATAAGCTACCTACTACAACAATGCAAAATTACTGTTCCTGGTTGTGCTAACACGCAACCATTCTCTTGCTATAGCTCTGGTCATCCATTTGACAATTTCAGTATGAAATCACACTCTTCTGGATTAATTAGGGTATTAGTCAGTGTCACTATATATAAATTATATTCATCCAAACAAGTTTTCTTTGAACTTAAAAGGGGGGAAAATACGCAGAATGATTTCCACTGAATGATTTCAAAATGGCTAAAAATGATCTCATGTCCCAAACCAGAATTGCCTCTAGATACATTTTTGAAATAATCCATACTACTGTTCTTTATTTTCCCGTGAGAAAATAACACTCAGAAAAGTCTCCTATATTCCCAGTACATAATTCTGTGAGGTTTCATTGTCAGAACCTGCTTTCATTTACCCATTACCCATCCTTTTCAGAATTGCTAGGATGGTGAACTTCAGTAACAGTAACAGAGTTGGAAGGGACCTTGGAGGTCATCTAGTCCAACCCCCTGCTCACTCAAGAGATCTGTATTAGGGATTCGAATTGCTAAAATGCCAACTTTTCTGATCAACAAGCTCAGTGTCTTAGCCACTGAGTCACCTAGTCAGGCAGATGTCAATTGGAGTCAGCTAGAGTCCAACAAAGAACAATGCAACAGGCACAGAAACATACAAATACTATGAATGCAACTTTTTTTCAATAAAGTGTCTTTCATATATTAATTCCTAAACTTCCCAGCTAGCATTCCTATATTACCTAAGGGCTGCAGTTCTAACACTCCTATACAGTGCCAGTTAAGGAAGGTCAACCTAATGCAAGTTATATCATAAAACCCTGGGTGTCTGTTTGATAGTAATAGCCCTTCGAGTAATGTCATGTAATTTACTTATTCATAGCATCTCCTGAAGAGCGACATTTCACAAAATGTACAATTTCTAAAAAACTACAGGTATGGCCATACTTTGAAATGCCCTTAAATGAGCCAAATTGTTAAAAGAAAACAAAGATGTGTACTTGGATCTAATCAAAGGGGAGGTGTATCCAGATGAGAAAGGTAAAGCAATAGCTCAAATTACAGAATGGGTTTAGTAGAGCATGCAGCGTTGCATGTGTAAATTTTCTTGCCATTTCCCATTCACCCAACGGAAACAAGCTATTCCATTGTTTCCTAGTTGACAGGCAGGCAGTTCTATTGACTGAGGAACCTGTTAGAATTCTTTGTACTTGACCTGCAAGACTGTTCTAAGTCAAGAAGAATGCTCTCAAGATTACTTTGGATGTACATTTCTTTTCAAAGGATTCTGCAAGACCCTGGTGGGGTTCTGAGACAGGATAGTCTTGGGGAGAAAGGTGGTTTTTTTTTTCCCATTTCATGTACATGAACTAAATTACAGGTAATCCTCGACTTACAACCATCTGTTTAGTGACCGAAGTTACAATGGCACTGGAAATAAGTGACTTGGGACTAGTTTTCACACTTACGACCATTAGCTACTGGCATGTATTTGTGACAATTGCACTGTCCTGAGGTCAGGCAATCACCATTTGCGACCTTCCCAGCAAGCAAAGACAATGGGGGAAGCCAGATTCACTTAATGACCACATTGTCCACTTAGCAACTGTGGCAAAAAGTTGTAAAATGGGATGCAATTCACTTAACAGCTGTCTTGCTTAGCAATAGCAATTGTGGGCTCAATTGTAGTCACAAGTGAAGGACCACATGTATTCTATACCATACTATGTGAAGTGCATCTCTGCATGCCCGATTCAATGGTTTCACGGAATGGAGAGTTCACTCAGCATTCTATAGTGACCACCGAAGCCAACTGCTGATCAAACCAAAACATAAAAATGAAAGGTCTGTAAAAGGGAATCTAAACACTGAAATTAATAATGATCCTATTATGTCATCCTGAAGTTGTAAATCTGAGTTATTGAAAGAAATAGATTGCTTTGCACCAATATCCCATCATCATTCTGATAGAAATGGAAGAGAAGGTTTTGGTCCCCATCTAAATTAGATCCCCTCTCCTTATTCTTAATAATATTTACAAACATATGTATGTATGTTATCAGAAGAATTTTATGACACCTGTAAGATATGCCTTGATCTCTACATTTTTGTCAGTGACTACAGGCCTTTTAGAATGATTGTTGATTCCCAATTAACTGATCTAGTCTAGTAATTTAGTCTTTGGTTTTCAATGATGCTGTGAAGTTTGAATACTGGAATCAAGTAGGATTAAAACGAATTGCCTTCCTACCTCTTACTCAGTCTTTGCTATTATTTGATACCAAGCAAACCTAGTTATCATCCCCTTTCCCCAGCTTGTTTTCCAGATGGAGTTCTCAAAATAACAGTGAATACTAAGATCATCAAGCAACCCTCACTTTCTCCTTTCCCATATTGATCTGCTTTTCAACCATTTCATTTTCCTTGGAGAAGCTAAACTAAGAACCTCACACTTGAAAATTCACAATGTAAAATGTCAATAAAGTGAAATCATTTTGGAGGAAGAGAAAATTATGAGCCATATATATTTCTCTAAAATGTTGTTGATTCTTTAAGAGTAGCTTCTGCCACCTTGGGTGAATGAAAGTTGTTTTAAGGGTATTTGGGGCAGAAGCAGGATTTGTGTGGCTTAAAATGGCATTCAGCTACTGTTCACTGATGTGCTGTCTTGGCAGAATGATACATTTACTGTTGTTTCTTGTTCTATTAATGGAAAGAGTTAAATACCCTGCTCTTCTGCTCTTTGTGATGTGATGATCCAGTTTTCCCTGTGAACCAAACCATCTATGAAATTTGAATTAAATCAGATTAAACAAGTACCAAGATGTAGTGTGTAATTTGCCCTCTCCACAAAGCTCAAAATTCTGGAACAAAAGCCATCCACCGAACAAAATAGAAATACGTTAGGCAAAGAATGGTAATAGGTTGGTAAGAATCCAACTTTTAACGTGCCCAACAGAGCATGGGGTTGGAAAAGGCTGTATATGAAGAAGTGTCTGTATTGCTGTGTCACTATGAAGTTCTAAAAGCTGGACAAGAAATTCTGAGAACTCTTGCAATGTGGTGCCACAATCAAAACACCTGAGATTTATATTATTTGTATTATTCATATTGCACAGGATCACAGAGTGCAATTGTGACTACTCACAATGTCTGCTGTGATCCAACCTGACTACAAATTACTTTTACTATGCTAGCGGACAAAATCTTGGAAAATAATGTTTAATTTTAATTCCATTCAATTAACTTTCCTTGGGGGCCTTCCCTTCCTTTCAGAGCACAGAACTCAAGACATGTTGAATGGCTCTGGTTTATGGCCAGGATTAGACCAAATATTTATCCGGGCATTGTCTACACTAACTTGACAAGACCAAATCAGTTCAGGCCCTGCAGCTTCCAGAACTGAGTGCAATCCCTTTTTGATCTAGGGAATGTCCTCAGCTCATGCCAAGAACATAACCAGTAATGACAGTGCCTAGAAGTGCTAATTTATTTCCTCAGGTAGAAGGAAAATATTCTGAATCTTGCTTTGCATCTGATGTGATCTTAGTGATATTGTAATAGAATGTGTCCTTGCACATACATGCATTGGTACATACAGAGGTGGGTTCTACTTACCTTTACTACTGGTTTGCATCGTGCCCATGCGCACGTGCTTTCTTCTGCGCATGATCAGGTCACCTATGATGATGTCCGGGTCAGTGGGCAGAGCCTCCCACTGGTTTTACTACCGGTTCTTGTGAACCGGTCTGAACCAGGGGAAATCTACCACTGGGTACATACCATATTAGCCCTTCTGGCTCCCCCAGTGAGACTGTCCTAACCCATAATCTATACATTTATGGATTATCAAAATCCTAGGCAAAGCCCGATACCACCATTCTTTTCCAGAAAAGAAACCAGTTTTCGCTTTTGTAAATTCATTTTTGGAGTTACCAAAGTGGCTGGAATGCAAAATAGGATAAATTCCTTGTCAGGATGAGACTAACTGATTCCACAGAAGATACAGGTAATTTGTTATGTAAACTAAGTTTAGAGCTAATTGAGAATTGTAGACAATGAGAGAAATCTTGCCAACTTTAATCTTGTCAGCAGGAATATGCATGTATAATAGAGGCAGAGTGGGGAATGTGTGTGTGTGTGTATCTTATATCAAGAATATAAATACACAATTAAGATAAATCCAGAATGTATTTTTTTAAAGGATCTAATGTACATCTATCTCTATATTTACCAAATGACTAGTTCCTTTTTATTCTCCAGATCTCTTGGTTGGGATGCCAATCCAAGAAGAAAAGTCATCTCAGGGTAGAACATCAAAAACCAACACAAAATGGAGGTTTCCCATCTTCTTTTTAAGGCCCACCTGAAAGGTGCTCCTAATTGAGTCATCTATATGAATTCCCTGATTTTTGCAGACTTTTGCCTGATTATTTAGAATTATTGGTTTATATTTATGTTGATTAACTTTGTCACTTGCCCTCCTAAATCTTTGGAGATGAGATTTCTCTTCCTTCCCTCAGATACAAACTTCAACCATGGCTCTCACATAACATCATCTTGTTGACAGATCTGATGAATCAAAGTTACAATATATTTGACAGCACCCCTATTTGGAAGCTCATTTTGTACAAAAGTAAGTTTTTGCTTCAGTATTATGCTATGAATGAGAAAACAAAGTTACACCACATTAAAGAAATAGCCAATTGATCTTACATTCAATTACATTACATAGAATCATTTATTAATACATAAGTTAAAACAAAAATATTCACAGATAGTTGCATCATCACTGCATGGATTTCTGTTAACTAAATTGCTTGTTTGGATGCCTACCGACTCTAACCAACTTTTGCAGATATGTACATCAGGAATACTGCACAAACTATGACAAATTTATATCCATTCCGGGTTGCCTTCTGGGTGGATTATAGAAAATAATTATGAGAACTGCACTTTGCAATTGGCAGAGATTTGTAAGTGGCATGTTACCAGTTAGGGTTAGGAAAGGCATCATATTTAGACTCAAGGCCACTATCTCCCACTTGAGCAACGAGTTGGACTAGAAGACCTCTCAGGTCCCTTCCAGCTGTTTTGTTTTATATTCTGTGAAAATGTACCCTATTTCCTGAGCATACTTCAGAAGGGCTGGATCCTGCCAGTTCTGTTTAGCACAGTAGGTTTTCATTCTGTCTCATATACGGTAGCTATCAGTGTTTTTGAAAATTCAGATATACCACTACAAATCAATGCATCTGAGGAGAAAAAATGCTAGGGTTTTTTTAATTTCCTGTTTTCCTGATTTATTAGGTAAAAACAAAACCATTGGTTATCTTGCTATATTCTGATTCTAATCCCAGAGATCAATGAATGAGTTGAGGTAGTTCATTGATATACAAGGCAGTAAATTCACTTTTTCATAACCTGTTTGCAGTTGGCATAGATTGGATCCTCTGTTGCAGTAGGACTTTGACTTGCATGTGCTGAGTCCTGGCCAGCCCAGTTTTTGTATTGCTGCTGGGGCTATAAAAGCAAGAAGAAGAAGAAGAAGAAGAAGACAGTAATGGGGAAAAAATAGCAAAAAAGGGCTGTCCTTCAAACACAAATGCTCACAATGGAGGCAAACTGTCCATGCTGCACTTTTAAGAATTAGGATCAAAATATGAATACACATGCATGTTATATTATTGCAGATGTGGTCGGCATTAAAGAAAAGAAGGTATAGATTAGATTCACATCTACTGCTAAACCCTAATTTGTGTAACTGAGGTTTATATAATCCATAATTAGCTGAGTTGACACAACATATTAAAGCAAAACCAAATCAATCATGTTATAAATTGATGCATGACGCTAGCAGAAGAATTGCTAAGAATTATCCAACCTTCCAATCCACACCACGTACTCAAATAAAGAATATTATTTAGCCAGGTATCTTTTGTCATGAGGATAGCTGCACTTTACAAGGAAAAACTGTAGAACTCCCTGTGTTCAATCTCCAGAAGAGTCACAGAGGAGCATCACGTCAAAATAAAAGTTGAAAATAGGAACTTTTGATTTGACTTAAGCTTAATTCTTATTGTAGGGGGAAATTTTAAAAGGTTTAAAATACTACGTGCTAGTAGCTTGCACATATTCCCAGTACGTACCAGGTCTTGTACCTGCCGATGTTACAAATTAAATAAATGCATTTTGAAATTAAAATGGCTACAAATGTCATGACATTTCAGCAGTCTCATTCCAGAGCTTTCTGCATGTGATTTATGGTGAATTTTTAAAAATGTGATTTGCCTAGACAAGCAATCACACAATTGTGCAGGTATTCCAAAATGCTGCTGCAGTCCTCACTTAACAATGGCAATTGGGACTGAAATTTCAGTCACCAAACCACTCAGTGGAGTCATAAAATGTACATGACTGTGCCTCTTAGCAACGGCGGTACCAGCAATTCCTGGTTGCTGTTATTTAGCAAATCAATGCAGGTCATTTAGCAAGGATCTCATGTGATCATGACTTTGACTTCCTTCTGGCTTCCCCATTCATTTTATTTGTTTGTTTTGTTTTGTTTTTGTTTTTATTGGATTTATATACCGCCCTACTCCTGAAGGACTCAGGGCGGTGAACAGCCACAGAATAAAACACATAAATACAAAAATTTAAAATAGAATAAAAATGAATTAAATAATTTGGCTGAGACAATTTTAAAATACCCAATAATTTAAAAACAAATTAAAATTTACATTTAAAAGAGGAAAAGAATTAGGCGAGGCCAGGGAGGCCAGGCCAGGGAAGCCAGCAGGGAAGGTCACAAATCATGATCATGGGAAACACTGTGATGGTAAGAAATGTGGGTCAGTTACCAGGTGCCCATATAGTGATGAATGTAACAACAGGAATGTTGCAATGGCTGCAACTTCAAGGACCAGTCGCTGAATGAGAGTTGTTCAGTGTGGACTCTCTGTCTAAATAAACCGTATGACTCTGACTACTTCTTTTAAATCCAACATCTTCTATGAAAATGCTGTCAAACGCGCTTTTAGCTATTGGGAATATTCTTTCAAAACTACTTAATCTCATCAAACTACCCTTCTACTGCCTGCGTCCTGCATTATCATTGCTGTGCAAGTGCATGGAAATCATCCAACTTAATACTGGTTTTTTTTTCTCTCTCCAAGAATGGAAGAAAGATTCAGCTGCAACTGATTCTTCTATTTTCCTCTGTAGAAAAGGAACAAAGAAAGCTGAACAAAGAAAGCCAAATCCTCAGCCTTTCAGGCTGATACAGTTGTGAAGCTACCAAGCTGGCAAACCATGAAAAGCTGAATATTAGCTACCTAATAAGAATAAAACAGAATCAGCTCAGCTAATGACTATTATGGAGAAACAAGAAAATTCTGAATAGAATATATGATGTTCTGTGTGACTTATAGATTCTCAGTTATAATGCCATTCTAGAAATAAGTAAATAAAGTCTTTGTGCTTTGTGAGCATCTTATGTAAACTGCCCCAAGGCAGTTTGAAGTGTGTCAGAGGTTCTCCACTTTGTTGTTCAAACAATTGTTTGTCTTACAAAGTCTTATCCGAAGACCACAAGAACGACTGTGATGGACCAGGCCAAGGCCCACCTTGGTCCACGATGTCATTCAGATACTTCTGATTGTCATGAGTAGAAAGTGAAGATATATCCACTCTGTATCTATAGCCATGCTTTCAGGGGTGAAATGCTCCCGGTTTGGACCGAATCTCCCAATCCGGTAGCGATGGTGGCAGGTGGTTCAGAGAAAATCCCTGCCCCCCCCCCCATGCCCAGCTGAGCCACATGATCATCATAGGCTTTTTTTTTTACTTTTAAAAGGATTTTTTCTTCAGCCGAAAAAATGCTTTTAAAAGTAAAAAAAAAAAATGTTGGCCATGCCCACCCAGTCACATTACCCCCCCCCACCAAGCCACGCCCACAGAACCGGTAGTAAAAAAATTTACATTTCACCACTGCATGCTTCCCCCAATGAGATCCTAGTTGAAGAAGCTCTTGAACCCAAAATGCACAACTAAGTTGGATACCCTTATGATGCCCCTCTTTGTCCACGCACCGGATGTAATGGAATGGACTAATAGAATTCTCTGAGTCTCAGAAAGAAAAGGAATTTTTACTAAACATGATATATAAGGACCACATGAATATTACCCCTTTAACAAAGTCATCTTTTCAGAAGGCTATTAGAAAAAAGGATCTGTCTTAATGTAATCAGTAATGTGAGGTCTATGATATACTTATCTAACCCATTTTTCCTTGCATTAAGCCTGATTAGTAAAACTCTCTGTGAATCCCCTTAGTCATGTGCTACTGTAAGGAGTTTGACATTGTAACTGGTACAGTTATTTAAAAATACTGCTTCCGTATGGTTTGGATCCTTTGCCCCCAGTGAGACTATTGATTTTTAAAAAGTCTACCAACGAAACAATTTCCATTTGCACGTACCTGTCTAGAAGTAGTTTTGTAGTCTCTCATCTTCTTAATCCTTGTCCTCTTTTTGGTGACATAAAAACTAAATGAACAAAAATAATTTTGTGGTTGTTAACTATTAATTCTTTTGATCATGATTAAAATTTAAATTATTTTTAAATTGCACAACTAAATCAGGGTGTGTAGCTGAATAAAATATTACACAAATCAACTTAAGTGAAATCTGTGGCACAGTAGTTTCCATATCCCTCCCATTTCAGACTTTCCAACAAAGATTCTTTCTTTCTTTCTTTCTTTCTTTCTTTCTTTCTTTCTTTCTTTCTCTTTTCTTCCCTTCCTTCCTTCCTTCCTTCCTTCCTTCCTTCCTTCCTTCCTTCCTTTCTTTCTTTCTTTCTTTCTTTCTTTCTTCTTTCTTTCTTTCTTTCTTTTGAAAGTTTGGAAATCTTATGTGGACTTTTTGTTAAAATAAGAAAAGACTGAATTGATGATTTGGGGATTCAGGGATTAAGAACAGATGACGAGAATGAGGAAAATATTAAGACGACAATTACTTGATAGCGAGGGAAAGCATAGTTTTATTATTTCTTTTTCTCTTTATCTTATTTTATATCTCTTTTTATTTGTTTTGTATTCTTTTATTATATTGAAACATTCTAATAAAAATATACAAGAACAATTTTAGACTCTTAGTGATATTCAGAATGAGAGTCTGAAAGAGATAAGCCTGGAACAAAAGCCACATTTTTATATGTTTGCAAAGGTCCATTAACTATCTTGTAATTGAACATTTTCAACCAATTGCTACAGACTGAGGCATGAAAAAACTGTTTTCCTTGGCAGAAATCAGCAAGATAGGTTCTCCTAAATGCTTCCATGCCAACTGTAACAACTTGCAGCATATAGTTATCACTCCTTGTATGGAGATCAGCACGACATTAATTTGATAAGATACCAAAAAAGCTTTAGATACCATGACAGGATACAAATACAAATTTTGGGACATAGCATACTGGGTGCATTCTGCTATAATATCGAATCATATCTTACCTTCTGTATATAAGTAAAACCACAATAACCAGGATTAAAAAGGCACCGCTTCCAATAACAATCATATGCAGCTTAGTAAATATAAGTGCTAAAAAAGAAATACGGTAAATATAATCAATAAGAGGAAACGTTTATTTTCTGAACAATGCATCATCAGAAGACATTTCAAATAATTTATGCTATGAATATGGAAGTCTTAAATATACGAGAAGAAATTAGAAGGACAAGAAGACAAGAGTAGAGTATGGAATCCAGAAGAATGATTTATCTTCTGAGATTACTGTAATTCTCATTGTAATTGTAATCAATTTAGAAAGTCGAGCTGATCCACATTAGCTGACATTATTTTGAGCATAAATGGTATCATGCTTGCAGCCATGTGGTGTTTATAGAAGACATTCCACAAATCATTCCCCGTGTATGTATTCCAAGTACATTGGCATCCAATGCAATGAAAAGGTTTAAATTACATCATATTTTGTTGATAAGGGATTACTACATGCTTCTATAGGCAGCTCCTGGCATATACTCCTATTAGATAATCAGATTTGATAAACCTAGACTAGGGTTTTCTCAATCTTGGCAACTTTAAGAAACCTTGGCTGGGGAATTCTGCGATTGAAGTCTACACATCTTAAAAGTTTTCAAGTTGAGAAACGCTGTCATAGACCATTACAGGGTGGCAGAGCTGTGGAAGCTTGTGGCTCTCTAAATGTAACTTCAGGTTGCTCCCAGTAGTACTAGAGAATATGGGCCATTGGAAGGAATTCTTGAAAGTGCAATTCTGTACAATCATCCATTCCTTTTTTCTCACCTTACAATATGGAATTACCTTGAGTGAAAATTTATCAATCACAGATAACTCTCAAAACATGTTCTTTAAGTTTCATTTCAAGAGGCGTTAAGAGTGGGATAAGGCTTTGCCTCCAACGCTGCATCAAGGACTTTCACAAAGAAGAAACCTTCCAAGATAGTCATCTGAGAACCGGATATTAAGGATGTTCCATTTTTGTATTGTTAGTGAATAGTAAAATTTCTGCCTTCTATGTTAAGATAGGCTTTAGATACTATTGCATAATAAGAACTCCTAGAGAATCTATGACACTTTTTAAAGGATTAGTTTCTTTAAATAAAAAACAGAAAGCCTGCGTGAAGGTAGCCTTTATGTTATATTTCATATAAATTCAAATCTCAAAGGCTGAGGAAGATAACAATTGTCTTGAAGAACCTTATCAAACTGATCTTCTAAAAATCCAGGTAAAGCTGATTATTAACTTTCTATACTATTGTCTGAGACATAAAGCTGAAAGACTGTGTTTCCAGCCTATTTCTCAAAGCTATGCTTGGGAATAGAGCATGTCACTGGTGTGTGACTTCAAAAGCTGAAAGAGCCAACACACTCTGTTGGAATACTTCTCAGCCTATGAAAATGTGATTTAATACAGTTATAACAATCAGATGGGAATTGCAGCTTGTCTCCTTTTCCTCACATAAAATCCTATAGTAGGTTATATTTCCCAATCTGTTTTTTGAGACTCATTTGCTGCAATGAGTCTCAAAAAATAATAAAGTACTGATTATCTGTGTTTTGCAGAGCTAATAGCAACAGCAAAAACACTTAGACTTATATACCACTTCACAGTGCTTAACAGCCCTCTCTAAGCAGTTTACAGAGTCGGCATATTGCCCCCAACAATCTGGGTCCACATTTTATCCACCTCGGAAAGACTGAAGGCTGAGTCAACCTTGAGCCTGATGAGATTCGAACTGCCAAATTGCAGACAGCCGGCAGTCAGCAGAAGTAGCCTGCAGTACTGTATTTTAACCACTGTGCCACCGCGACTCTTGCTAAGTCTACTGCAGCTAAAAAATGCCCTTCACTTAATCTAGGCCAGTGTTAGCGAACCTTTTTGGCACCGAGTGCTGAAATGGGACCGCGTGTGCACGCATGCATGCCAGAAACTCGAACAGCAACCCCCGGGGTGCATGCACACACTGGGGAGATAATCTTCTGGCTTCCGGTGTGTGCATACGCACCGGCCACCTGGTCTTCTGGTTTCTGGCACTCCTGCATGCGTGAAGACCAACTGGCTGATGTGCTGGAACCCAGAAGAGCAATGGGCGACAGCTTGCATGCCCAGAGAGATGGCTCTGTGTGCTACTTCTGGCATGCGTGCCATAGGTTTGCCATCAACCTATGGTTCGCCATGGGATTGGTCCAGGTGCTGACTAATTAAAAAACACTTTGTTAAGCTGGATGATATCTTTTCTGCAACACCTCCAGTTTTCAAACATTTCTTTAGAATTGGCATGGAGGAGGAAGATTGACTGACTGGCTACCTGACCTGAACTCACAAGGTTAGGGCTGGATAGTGCCTAACCCTATTTATATCTTCTTCAGAGTCCTTCATACCCTTAACCCTTCAATCATTACATAGAGTTCGCTTAAGTTCAGCAGTCAATAAAAATTTATCAGTGTATCTTCATCATTGTCCTGGAGCATCCATGATTTGGAATCAAGAGATGGTATCCAAAAAAATGGCTTTGATCTCCCCTCCCCAACCAAACTCTGCAAAAGAAATGATCAGTTTTGACCCAAAGCCAATAAGAAAGTTGCAAACTCAATACAACTTGGGCTGCGTATCAGGAGCAAAATAAGAACAAATAATGCCTGGTGCTCTTTATTTCTTTGTAGTGACTGAGATGCAAACAACAAAAGGTCTGTTTCTTTTTTTTTTCCCCTGAGGATTTTAAGTCAGGCATATATTTCTACCAGTTTTAATGTATCAGCTCTATTTCCTAGAAACAAGATATGGAAAGCAGAGACAAATCACATGTTCTGACATCCCTCACATCTGCAAGGAGAGAAAATACTTACTAAGCCTGCCTTGAAGTTTAGTCCTAGAAACATGTAGGTGATTGATTTCAACCTTCACTGCCCCTTGACTGCAGTTCTCTAGAAGAAATACTGACAGCTTGTCAGTTCCAACACACTCAACCCAAACAAGCAAGTAGACGGTAGAGCCACTTGTTAGGTGCTTCACTACTAAAAGGTTTGCAATGTTTGCTAAGCACATGAAGTGTAAGAACAGGTCTGTGACAGCACTGAGCCTTGTGGAAGACGAAGCAAAAGGGGTGGAGTGCTTAAGCACCATCAGGTCCACCTCTGTGTGATTTCCTCCCTTGCATTTTTCTTGCAAAAGAGAGATGCATCCAGTGACACCACCTTCAAGAATCTCAACTCTTTTTGAGAATCTGGCCCTTCACTATGTCATTTGCTCAGGAACAACAACACTGGAGTTCCCGAACCAGCTAAAGCTGCTTTAAAATATTAAAAATGCTATTAATCGACTTTGCTGCCATGCGGTTTAGAGGATTAGCACTCATATTGACTGGAATCAGGATCAGCAACACAGGTAGCAAACAAAAGTCCCAAAATCTAAGCAGAGAGCAAAAAAAAAAAAAAAAAAAAAGATCACTGCTGGCAAACAATGAAACTGATTCTATTAAAGTGATAAATGAGGCATGTGAAAAGTGGGAAAAAAGCAACATCGGAGAATGTCTGTGGCTGACGATAAGGGAAAAGCATCACGGTTGCAAAGGAGCAACTTGTGAAAGGAGGCCTCTGCTTCGATTTTCTTCAGCCATTCCATTCTGATTGGGATGCATTCTGATTTTTAAAACAAACAAACAAACAAACAAACAAACAAACATATATTTTGTGGCTCAATGAACAAAAATACGAGGAACTTATGACTTTATTGTCAATGTCTGCTATTCCTACTAATATTTAAATTGCTACATTCATATTCACTTGGTTTCCTGCACAATGTTTTCGGTATCTTTTCTTGGTCCTTCTATCCTGGGAAATGCATTATTTCTCTTTATTACTTTCTTACCAACGCTGGCTAGCTAGCTACTTTCCTCTGTTGCCAAAACTGCTGGGAAACATGTAGAAGCAGAGATGGGGATTAATACAAACAAGAAAAGTGAAAGAAAAGCAGGAAGGACAGGAGAAGATAGAGAAGAGTGGAGAACGACCAGCCCAGGGGTGAAATGTTCCCGGTTCGGACCAGATCGCCTGATCCAGTAGCAATGGCGGCGGGTGGTTCGGAGAACCGGTAGCAAAAATCCCTGCGCCCACCCACCCACCCACCACCATGCCCAGCTGAGCCGCACAATCATCAGAGGCTTTTTTTTTAACTTTTAAAAGCATTTTTTCTACAACCTCTTCCGACGAAAAAATGCTTTTAAAAGTAAAAAAAAAAAAACCCCTCTGATGATTGCGCTGCTCAGCTGGGATCCTCAGAGGCTTTTCAAAGCATTTTTTAAAAAGCCTCTCTGACGATCCCAGCTGAGTTGCCTGATCGTCAGAGGCTTTTCAAAGCATTAGAAAAAATGCTTTGAAAAGTTAAAAAAAAAAAGTTGGCCACGCCCACCCAGTCACATTACCCCCCCCCACCAAGCCACGCCCACAGAACCGGTAATAACAAATTTTACATTTCACCCCTGGACCAGCCCTGTTATCACTTAAGCTCTGTGAACAAGATACCTGGGCCTCAGGTTTGAAGTTACCCAGTCAGCTTCAACGGGAGCAGTTCTACAGGGAAATCAATAGAAGGGCAGCAAAAATAGGGCAATATTCTTGCAAAGAGATCTTGTAAGAGAAGAGCTTAAGCTTGTAAGCAGGAAGAAGAGAAGATATATTTTCCTGATAGTCGGATGCATTCTTGGGTCTGAGCCAGAATTCAGACTGAACGCTAGCTTTGCAATGTGTTCAGTTTGTGGCATCTGCTGGTATTTGGAAAGAATCATAGCAATGGAAAAACCTGTGCCTGATGTTTTGGAAAATGTGTCCAAGTGGCATCCAAACAATACTCTTTCAATAGACTGTGATATAAGGTATCTTTGTATTCATTTTTTTTACATTAAACAAATGGTTATCTTACCCATGGGAGCCATGAGAAAACTATTTCTATGAACTAATTAAATGTGAGTGTAACCATTTTGGCCTTTTCTTAATTTCATGTCTAGGATTCAAAAGACAGCGCTCTACAAATGCAAAAGGGATTTTGTTCTGTTTTGTTTTTTTAATGGGAGTTTCCATCAGTTTGACTTGTGGGCTTCGGTGTTATTCTAAATTTGGTTCTTTAGTCTTCATTGCTTAAACTGATGGTTTTTTTTCCAATAGGATGCAGTAATACGTTTTTATTTAGTTTGACACTTCTCACTTTTGCAACATTTCCTTTCTAACACCTTTGCAACATTTCCTTTCCTGTCTACTTTTTGATCATTAAGTCAAAGATAATGTGTTCAACTTTTTTCATGCTCTTTCATTTTTCAGATGTTTATCAGTCACAGAACAATGTAACGTATATTTATTTAATAGCAATGTAAGGATTTTACTAATATATATTTTTAATAGAGTTATCTTTTTATAAAGATTCTTTTTATAAAGAATCATTGGAAATGAGCACATATATTTTAATAATAATGATAAGTAGAAATCCTAGGTTCTTGGGAAGAACTCAGTATGTATGACAGCCAACTCCAGCTAAAGAACGGCTGGCTGTGAGGTCACATTTTTGTGTATATAATAATAAATTATTATTGCATTGGAAGATCTGCAGGCAAGAACTGGTGGGATAATAAAAGACAGAAAGTAATAGAAAATGAAGAAGCTAAAGTGCTCTGGGGCTTTCGACTTCAAACAGACAGGTACCTGCCACATAGCACCTCAGATTTAACAATTGTCGATAAGAAAGACAAAAAGTCTGGATAGCAGATGTGGCAGTGCCTGGAGATAGCAGTCTAGAAGAGACGTAACTGGAGAAGATAACAAAATACAAAGACCTGCAAACAGAAATAGAACAACTGTGGTAAAGGCAAGCAAGGGTAGTACCAATAGTAATAGGCGACTTGGGTGCAATCCCAAAATAACTGTAGCAACACTTGTATGCTATCCGCATTGACAAATTCATCATCAGTCAATTGCAAAAGGCAGCTTTATTTGGAAAAGTTTACATCCTGCAACAATAGCTTTAAAAATTATTAATCAACAACCTCTGCCTATCCCAGGTCCTTGGGAAGGACTCATAGGTGGACAGAAATGTGAAATCCAGTCTGAACATCTGGCTGACTATGCAATGAGCCAAAACAAATAATGACAACATCACGCATAATGAAGTCAAGAAGATTAGTAATAAATACATCAGAAAAGTGAAGTTCGTAAAAACTCAGTGGAGGAAAAACAAGGCAATTAACACCTGGGCTATTCCAGTCATTAGCTATACTGTTAGAATAGTGGACTAGATTCAAGCAGAACTTTAAGCCCTGAAGAACAGAAAAATAATGATAATGAATCATGCTAGATACTACTAACCAAGAAAAATTGGTGGGTGTGGAATGTTGCTAGATAGTTAAAGAAGAAAAAAGCACATTGGAAGGATATCTGAAGGATGTGAAGAAGATGCACTGAAACTGGTACACCATGAAGGCTTATGGAATACCAAAAAGACCCAACTGGCCTACAAGAAAGACCAAATGAAGAATAGAAAGGAGACTTAGCAAAGCAAAGTCTTACATGGCCAATCCATTAAAAATGCAGCAGGCTAAATAGATAATGAGACCTGGCAATGATTAAGAGCAAGAAAATTGAAAAGAATCAGAGAGTCTAATTCTGGCTACACAAGACCAAGCCGTAAGAACAAATGCCTACAATGCCAGAATTGAAAAGACAGCTATAGACAGCAAATGCCACCTCTGCAAAGAAGCTGAAGAAAAAGTGGACCATCTAGTTAGTTGCTGCAAGAAGATCACACAGACTGACAACAAACAATGGCCTGACAAAGTAGCAACAATGGTGTATTGGAAGATCTGCAAGAAATACCACTTGCCTACAAGCAAGAATTGGTAGGACCACAAAACAGACAAAGTAATAAGAACATGAAGCAGCTAAAGTGCTCTGGGACTACAGAATTCAAACAATCACATGCCACACAACACCTCAGACTTAACAGATGTTGATAAGAAATACAAAAAAATCTGGTTAATGGACATTGCTATATTTGGAGACAGTGGCATAGAAGAGAAAGAACAGGGGGGGGGGGAATCACAAAATATAAAGACCTGCAGATAGAATGACTGTAGCAAATGAAATCAAAGATAAGATCAATCGTAATAGGTCTCTTGGGTGCAATTCCAAAACATCCACTTGAACACCACCAGAATTGACAAAATCACAATCAGTCAATTGCAAAATGCAGCTTTACTTGCAACAGTTTACATTCTGCAACAATACCTTTAAAATTATTAAATGACAATATCTCCTGTCTCGGGACTTTGGGAAGGACTCGATAGATGGACAAAAATGCCAAATCCACTCCAAACATCCGGCTGGCTGTGTGACTCATCACCATCATTATCGTTCTCATCATTGTTATATGTTTTCCTTTAACTTACCATAGCTATTAGTGGTCAGTTTTATCCAGCCAGTTCCATTTTCTCCATTCACCTTGTCGTAAGAAAAGCGGTACATTCCATAGTCAGAAGCTGTGACATTCCAAAGCACAATCGAACTTTCAGAGATACAATCTACACGGTTTTGATAATCCGAGCCATAGACTGGCATTTCAGAATCCGCACACTGGATTATAAGATCTATACAGTCAGGTTGCACTTTTTCCCATGTCATTCGATTCACTGCTACATCGGAGTTAGACCAAGATTCAAAAGTGACATTTTCTCCTGGTTTAGCAGTCAAATGATGAATTGGCAACTTTGAAAATTCAAATGCTCCTGTTTGGAAAAAAAACCCGATAAAAGTAAGTGTGAGAGATAGGGATAATGTGATGCATAATATATTTATGTTCAAAAATGTTACATGCCTTGTCTGCTTTAGAAGCACTCAAAACAGCTGACAAGTTAATTAAAAACAGTAATATAAAGCAGTAAAATAAATACAAGTAACATTTAAAACCACCATTTACAATATTCTACATAATTATAACATTAATTGACCATAAAGGTGAGAACCAATTAGATTTTTGAGAAATGCCAGGAAATATCACAGAATTTTTTTTTAAATCTTATATTTGAACTAAAATAATTGTGGGTAATTATTATATCCAATATCTTGCATGGAAAGTTTCCCTCCAAAATAAGAGCAGCCACCAAACCAGCTGATTTCTATGTGAATACTAGTCTGTGAAGCCTGGGTAGAAACTGTGAGGGAAGTTCTCTAGTTGTTTTGAATTAAGAGGGGTATTCTATGATCTGTACTTTGAGCTCCAGTCTAGTCACAACTCTAGTTGATTGATTTTGGATCAACCAAAAAGTCTAAAATCAAGAAATGCCCCAGTATAGGACTCCATACAGACAGTTATAACACTAATAGGTGAAATGGGTATGGGCCAATATAGAAAGTGCTTCATGCTCAAAAAATTCTTGGAGAAAGAGTTTTATACACACATACTCACAAACACACACGTGTGTGTACCCTGTTTTCCCAAAAATAAGACCCAACCGGAAAATAAGACCTAGCATGATTTTTCAGGATGCTCATAATATAAGCCCTCCCCTCCCCAAAATAAGCCCCAGTTAAGATTGTCAGCCAGATAGATGCATTTAGTACCGTATTTCCTCCAAAATAAGACCTAATCAGAAAATAAGTCCTAATGCGTCTTTTGGAGCAAAAATTAATATAAGACCCGGTCTTATTTTCGGGGAAACACAGTATATATGTGTGTGTGTATATGTATATATGACTCTTTCTCCAAGTATTTTTGGAGCATGAAGAACTTTCCACATTGGTGTGTGTGTATGTGTGTGTACACACACACACACAAATGTGGAAAGTTCTTCATGCTCCAAAAATACTTGGAGAAAGAGTCATATACACAGATATATACATACATGTGTGTGTGTGTATATGTGTGTGTGTGTCTATATATATAGAAGACATATATACATACATACATATATATACATATATATATATATATATATATATATACATATACATATATATATATATATATATATATATATATATATATATATATATATATATATATATATATATATGAGACTAAGGAGACTAAGATAGATCTATTTCAGATTTATAAGTCCTCATCAGTTAGCCACACCTTCATCCCATGTATCCTCCCTGTAAAGGTACAGTATTATATGTATTTCTCTTTAGCCAGGTTCTTTCTACGTAAACCAAGATTTTTATGCAGCCCTAGTTCAGTGAAATCACAATCCACTAGTTTCTAGGCTTTTTTTTCTCTGGCAGCCAGCAAACACTCTGCTGCCCATTGGGAGACTAAGGAGACTAAGATAGATCTATTTCGGACTTATAAGTCCTCATACACACACACACACACACACACACACACAGAGAGAGAGAGAGAGAGAGAGAGAGAGAGAGAGAGATACATATCTCCAGCTTCCTCTGAGACACTTTCTACAACAACTAATCTCAGTGAACAACTTGGACATTTGTGGCATAATCTTGCAGAGAAAGCAGGCTCCTTACTATATTTCAGATATTGAGTAAAATATTATTTCCTAATTTGGGCTTTAGAAACTAAATGATGTATCGTCACTGTACTTTTACTCTTACAATTTATTATACCTGCTCTTGTCTTTATTTTTTCTTTTATATGACATGCTGCTAATGATTATTTTTAATTATAATTATACCAGGTTTCTAATAATTGATGAGTGTAATTTATAAAAGAGATATTTGTAGCTCAGGGTTGAAGTGAGGGCTCCTTGGTGCTCTCTGAGCTTGGTTGTTTCCTTGCAGGTGTTTCATTACCCAAACTAGGTAACATCATCAGTGCTAGTAAGGAGTGAGGTTTGCTCTCCGTTTATAGTCTAGTGGCTTGCTCTGCCATTTTTGGTTAGGGATGTCTTAGAAGTTCTTTGGTTGGACAGTTTACTGTTGGCTGTTGGACATAATTTATACATTAAATAAAAACAGAGGAAAAATGAATCATTTTGTTTTATTTTCTAAAATGAGAAGCATTATTATGGGGAAAGAAGTTGTTAAATGTGTTTGATCACTCAGGGGTGTCAACAGGGGAATTAAAAAAAAAGGCAAGCTGACAGCTGCAACTGCATCATTAAAGTGCTGCCCTTCTGACTGTTTTGTCCTTTACCTTGGTGGGACAGAAACATTTCTTAAAACGTATTTACCTAGTGTGACTGTAAATCATGTCAGACATTTCCACTTTTAGCAAAACAGAAGCAAAGAAAACATCTAAAAGGATGCTTTGAGCCAAAGAAAATTGAGTGCTGCTAAGAAAGAAGTTTGGTGGATTTAATGGAGCTTTCAGCTTTTTTCCCCCTACCCTTTCTTGCATTTTTTTTATATTTACTGAGTGCAAGAAGCACAACTCTAAGCATTTTTACTTTATTCATCTACTCTTTTGTTTTTCATCAGCAGATAGTTACAATAGAAAAAAAAAGAATCATGTCAAATTCCTTCATTGATGTGAAAGCATGCATATCGTTTTATGTCTACCTTTCATTGAATTGCCTACTTTCAAATTTATGGCTTCTTAAGCTATAGATTTGCTTTTTGGTTTTCTTTCTGCCCTACAACCATCTCATGTTTTTAGAATTTAAACTGCCTTTTGGTTGACTGTAACAGACCTGAGGAGTTGACACATGACACATAAGCCATAGTCATTTTAAATTATTTTCTATCACATAGAATTTAAATTATAATTCTGTCGCGCATGTCCATGCATGAAAAATTATGGCTATATTGCTCTTTAATTTTCAGTAGCCTTTTAAGAACTATTTTCATATCACCTAATTATGCTTGCTGGCTTATTGGTGTCCTCCAGAAATAGTTTCATCAGTTTCCATAATCTTTAGTTGGATTAGCCATTGATTGTGTTCAGTAGCACAATCTGTGACTCAGTAGCCAGATTGGGAAATTCAGAGTTTATAGTTTTTGTCATTAAATTTCATTGACTTATGATTCTTGGCAAGACCTTAGGGTAACAGTCTTCTGTGGTGAGAACAGAACGAAGGAAGAAAAACTTGTTCCTAATGATGATCAAGAAGATTGACATCTTCTGAAAAGTGTACTTTCTGCTTTGCAACAAAGAATTCTTAAAAGTGGAGGAAAGGAAATCTCGCATTTCTGATGTTGTGCTATTCCAGCAGTGGTGGGTTGTTCCCAGTTCGGCCCGGTTCAGCCGAGCCGATAGCGGTGACGCTATTACGTCACTGAACCGGTTCTCTTTCTTTGGGAGCTGGGCCCTCCTTCCCACCCCTGCGTTATTCCGACCTTATATTTCTTCTTTTTTTGCCCAGCTGAGAGGTGCGGCAGAGCGGATTGCCGCACCTCAGCTGGGCAGATTTGCAACGCGCTTGCGCAAAGTGCAAGTTTGGCGCGAAGCGCGCGCACAAAGAGAACCAGAAGTAAAGCCGGTTAGAACCCACCCCTGTATTCCAGATAATCCTGAAGTATACTTATGTTACAATGAATGACAACCATAATTCATTTTATTCTATTTTAAATTTTGTATATGTATGTGTTTTATTTTATGGCTGTTCACCACCCTGAGTCCTTCGGGAGTAGGGCGGTATAGAAATTCAATAAAATAAATAAATAAATAAATAAATAAATAAATAAATAAATAAATAAATAAATAGACAGGAGTTCAAAATTATGTCAGAACTGTAGTCACAGTTACTGATTTACAATTATCTGATGAACATCAATGTCTCAAAAAAAAAAATACTCCTTATATCACATACACATCTTTGATTGTTCCAGAATACTACAAGAAGGATCATATATGTACTCAAAATATTTATCTAAAATATTGTATATTCATCAGAAACAAGTTACTGGTCACAGATTTTTAAAAATGAAAGAATTTGAATTAAATATCTTCTTTCTTGTCTCAGCCAAATTTTAGGTTCAGCCTTGATATCAGCTATAGAAGGCTAATGTCTAGTTCCTCATCAATTTCAGAAATTGTACTTCTAATTATATTTTATGCTTCTTGCTGGCATAGGGGACTTTCTAAGCCTGAACCTTCCTATTCTATTGTTCATTAGGATTTATTCAGAATTTAAACTTGGGATTCTAGATATTCTCTGTCATCCCAGAACTAAATGGCTATTTGGGGAATATTGAGAAATAAAATTCACATCTTGGGAGGGTATTCTGAATGGGGAAGGAATCAGAACAGTGTTTCTGAATCTTGGCAGCTTGAAGATATGTGGACTTCAACTCCCAGAATTCCCCAGCTGGCCTTGCAGGCTAGGAAATTCTGGGAGTTAAGGTTCACACTTCTTAAAGTTGTTGAGGTTGAGAAACATTGAACTAGAAGTTAGCATAATCAAAGACCCAACTGAGCGGCAATTAAAATTTCAGCTGGGACAACATTCATGAATAAAAGGGTGCCAGGAATGCAGTGTCCTTCATCCATATGCATACAATGGCAGCTTCCAAAATTAAAGGCTTCTAACAATTGACATAATAAATAGTAGTGAATACAATAATCTACAGCATCTATAAAGAAAAGCAATGATTCCTTTGATACCATTTTTTTTCTTTAGATAAAATATCGACGGTAACTGTGAAAAGTACATCTCAAGAGCCTTTGACTCATTATCTAAACCCACCAGTAATGGTTTCTAAGTGCAAAATTGTTCGTTGCTAAAGAGGAAAATTAATATAGTTTTAATATGACATTTTTGGTTGAAGGCAATAGAAAATATTTCAAGTGCCGTGAAAGCATAATGCACAATTTTAAAATTATTTTATAAGCAAATGGGTAACTTAGGCAGAGGCACATTTATAGAGAGAGAGAAAAAAGGAAGAAGTACATTTCTTGTTTTTGTTACCACTGTGTTTCAAAATCTCCTGCTATGTACAAATGCAGAAGATTTTTTTTTTTTTTTGCTCAGAAAAATCCTTTCAAGATCATGTAACAGAGAGGTGAAGTCTCTTGAATCTATTTTCCATTTGAACCTTCTTTTCACAAATTTCTTCTCCCTCCCTTTTTATAATGATGTTGCAAAGGAATGTTTTTTCTAGCAAAAAAAGAAGTCAGAATTCCATGCAGTGAGGAAATAAGGAGTCATTTTTGAGTACAAAACTTGATGGGCAGGTGAACAAGGAATAGCTCCCATTTCTTTCAAATTTCTCTTTCCCATAAAATAATCTCTCCCTGTTAACATGCAAGTGTTGTGAGGCTCCAAAGTGGGGGGTGTGGTGTGTGCAAAAGAAAGAGACTGCTTTATATTTTATTCTATGCCACCATTGTGGAATAAAAGCACAGTAGCCTGGATTCACGCACTGAATGAAGTCATAAAGTCATGAAGTCTTCCTCTGTCTGGGAGAGGGGTACTTTTAAAATATGATGAATAAATTTAGTTTGCAAACCATGGAGTTCCCAAGACCCACAAAACCAAACCAAATAAACTATGTTTATTATTTGCACTATGTGTGAACCCATTCAAAGAGGTGACCATCTCTGTAAAGGAATAGTATATCTGAGAGGTGATGTTTGCTATGCTTTTCCAAAAATTGTTTTTGTTGTTTAATAGAACTAATGGTTAAAAGTAACATTGAATATTACCTAGTGCCAGCTAGTCTAATCCCTGGTCAGTTAACCAATTAAGAATTTGAAGACAAAGCTAAGATCTTCTTTTTCCTTGGCGGCATCCCAGCTTTATAAATCTACCTCTCTTCCTTCTCTTTTAGAAGATATTGACTATCGATGGCTTTGGGTGAGGAAGGAGCTGCCTGAAACTCACTTGTAACATCAATGGGAAGGTAGGAAAAATTCACCTGAGAATGCTTCACTGAAATTTGATTTCCTTTCAACTTTGAAAGCAAATATCCAGAATTTGAATTTACCAATAGCTTATAAAATGGAAATAAACAGATTTACCTTACCAGATTGAACAACCTGTATCGTCTTTTCCAAGATCCCATATGGAAAAGTATGAAAGGAACAGAGGTAAAAACCAACATCTTCCTCAGTGGTGTTGCTGAAAATCAAGGTCTTATTGTCTGAGGTAAAATTAGTGACCATGACTCTTCCCTTATAGTTGCTTCCAATATGTAGATCATAAGGTAGTCTGAAGGCAGCAATGAGCTGTTTCATTTGATTCTCTTCCTTCTCCCATACCATCTGAGAAATAGATGCATTCTTTGGGCAGACACATTTAAGAGCCATGGTACTGGAGAGTTTCACAATTGAATCCACATGTTTTCCCTCTGCCATTAAAGATACATTGCCTAAAATAGAACATTTTAATTTTGTTAAACAGTGAGTCAAACAAAAAATATCCACTTAACGCATGCGGCACTGATCAAACAGTGTCTTTCCCTCAACCCAAACTCTTTATAGTTGCACAGCAAGTTCTGCAAACCCATCTCCAAAGTTATTACTAATAACATTACGATGTGGTTATAATATTCGCTACAATTCTCCATTATCTAATTCATTTTGAATATAGTCAGATTCACTAATGAGTGAAACATCCATAAGATTGCAATACCAGAAACAAATAGCAGTGGTCTTACTTTTATTGGAATAAATTTCTTCAAAACTTTATAGATTTCCACGTAGTAGGAAGTAAGCAGGCAAAAAAACCAACGAGAAAGAAATGTATTAGTTAAGAAATGAGTCTTACTTTGGTAGGACTGTATAAAAGCCATCACCAAGAACACAAGGCAATTCATCTTCAGCACAGCTAAAAGGACTGAGAGAGCTTCATCTATGCTTTCTGTGTTTCCTGGTCACATGGTAGGGAGGGTGGTATTTTTATCTGAACTAGCAAGACAAAGGGCTGCATCATTTTGGGAAACTGTTGTAGTGCAGGGGTGTCTGTAAAGAGATACAGGAAGCCCATTTACACAAGTTGTCATGAATTCCATGATAATCTAGGACACCACAGACTACTCCCCCACCTCTTAGATCAATTCCAATATTACTTTTGTGCTCTAAGTCTGTGCTAAGAAAATTGATTGATTAACCTTCCTGAATTGCTTCCTTGCTTTCTCACAGTTGAGTTTCTCTGTCTTAGTGTTTTGAATGGAAGCATTGGTAGCACTTTGTTGCTATCTGTAAAATTGTGCTTACGGATTCTTATGTCTTTCCTTCCTTCCTTCCTTCCTTCCTTCCTTCCTTCCTTCCTTCCTTCCTTCCTTCCTTCCTTCCATGAATCTCTTTGCCAAGGAACAAATAAAGCTTTCCCTTAGCTTCATGTCTATGGAGATTTTCAGTCATCTGGGTCACGGTTGTCCCAAATGTGTTTTTTCAAAGGGAAACTGGCCTTTCTTTGTTTTTGCTTGAAGATGTTTTGCTTCTCATCTAAGAAGCTTTTTCAGTTCTGAATGAGGTGAACTGAAGAAGCTTCTTGGACGAGAAGCAAAATTTCTTCAAGCAAAAACAAAAAAAGGCCAGTTGCTTTTTTGGAAAAAACCACACCATACCTTTGGGTCCTCTTAGCTTCCATTTCAGGCATTTAAAAAGTAAACTAATTTAATTGGCCTCCATTCATCAGCTGAACCAATAAAGCCTAAACATATTGTCTTGTTAGGCAGGCAAGGTGGACACTGAATGTGAGACATAAATCTTTGCTCTGTATACACTGATCTTAAAGGAAAAGGCATTGCCTTTTGCAAAAACAGGCTGATTCAGAGGTTATTTACAATTACATTTTGATGTTAATGGGGGGGGGTTAAGAAGTAAAAAAATAAAAAAAAATTACAATTAAATTATATATTTTCTTACAAACATTTTAACACGTATTAAAATAATCACTTCAAAACTTTACTTAAAATTCAAAACATCAAATATAATAATATGTAAAATATTAAATTACATTTTACTTTGCTGTTGTGTGTATTTTTTATTTGACTGCGCGGCTTTGATCAATTCTTTGTGTTTAAGGAATAATTCTTTAATTTCAGTACAATGTTGAGAAATATTAAAAAATATACAAAGTTCACTTCGAACTGATACAAGCAGTCGGTTACGTTCGTCAGTCCACAAATTTCCCATGACGCTGAAAATTCGTTCAACGTTTGCATTTGATACGGAATTGATGCACAATACTGGAACAGTTTCAGTAAACTCGGAGCTGGCTCTTTTTTGAAAAAGTACGTCCACTTATCAAGGGATGAATCGCCCTGCAGATGAACATAAACTTCTAAGGCAGAAATTTCATCGAAGAGAGTGTTGGGTGGAAGTTCTTCTCACCATGGTGATAATAACCAGATGTTCGTCATTTCTTCTAAAGTTGGAGGATTATTGCAATCAATTAGATTGAAACAATTTAGCATTTCATATACTGAATCGGTGAAATTATACCACTTTTCTAGGTACGCAATGGCTCTTTGATACACATTGATGGCTTCTTTCTTGAACTTTTGCACGGCATTCTCAGGCAAATATTTTTTACATAAGGCAAATAAAACTTTCATTCCAAAAAACTGCTCATCGTATTTTTTTTGCAAAGAATCACGCAGCTTACACATGATAATGTGAAGATCACATGCAAGAATTTTCTTGCTTTCCAGCTTCAGTAGGGTGTCTTGAATTATTGACATGAAGAAGTGCGTGAAATATAAATACAATTCTGAAATTGTTGGTTCATTGTCCTTTGCGAGTTCATTTTCCTGATCCGAAATAAGGTTCCAGATAACCTTATGGCACTCATCAGATCCAAGAGAAATAAAATACGATTTTAGAGGTATCCAGTTTAAAAGAAGTCTTTCGACCGCTTTAAACAAACTTAACCAACGTGTTGGAACATGGCGCAAAACTTCATGGAATTCTGACTCGCAAAACTCAAAAAATGATTTCAACTCTTCTCGTTTCTTTGCAGAATTCGAAAATTCAGCAAAAACCTTCAGCACATTTTCGATATCAAAAGATAACTGCTTTAATGCATTTTTGCGCTGTTGTGTAAAATGTGATTATTGCAATGAGCATTCGATCTTTGTCTCATTCTAACTTATGAAAAAAAAAAAGACAAAACGCGATTCTCCTATTCTTATTCTCTTAGACTGTACAGCTTTAAATTACGTACCATTTAATCATAAAGCTTTTGAATAAAAAAAATGTTCACTATTTTGTGAAAAAAAATAGTGAACATAATGTGAAAAAAGTGGACTGTCCGCTCAAATAGTGGACACCTGGCAACCCTATAAGATATGCAACCTACAATTGCTAGTTCCCTGACAATTATGATTATCTTAATCAACAACAGTCTTTAACCATAACTTCTATTAAGTGAAACAAGAGTCTGTTCGCTCTTTTTGTTATGTTCTTAGGCTAGATTTAGGGTACCTAGAATTGTAGTCAGATGAATGTTACATTGTTAGAATATTGACTGTTGTGTAGGTGGGTCTAAGACAACTCGGAGCAGCCAACTCAGCGTGACCAGCTCACTATGCCAAGTTGTCTCTGCCAACTCACTACAAAGCTACCACAGGACATTTCCACACAGCCAATTCACTGCGGAGACAACTCACCGCGAGGCAGAGCTGGATAAACGGGCCCGTAGAGTTGCAGCAATAGCATTTAGACTTAGATACCCCCTCATAGTGCTTTACAGCCCTCTCTAAGCGGTTTACAGAGTCAGCATAGGGCCCCCAATAATCTGGGTCCTCATTTTAACGATCTCGGAAGGATGGAAGTCTGAGTCAACCTTGAGCTGGTGGGAATCGAACAGTCAGCAGAATTAGCCTGAAATACTGCATTCTAACCACCGCGCCACCACAGTTTATGGATGGAGTTTTATATCTCCCATTCCATTGTTTTAGAATTACTAATACATTACCAATCTCCAACATAATAAAATTCATAGTTATTGCAACAGATGTAAATCTGTTAGAGTTCCCCAATTGTTTTTGCTCAGGCAAGCCGATCTAGCAGGGAGGGCATTCACCAGGTCTCTCCTACTAAACAATGTCATCGTGTTGGACCCCAGAGTCGTGCCTTTTCAGCAACAGCAGCTGCATGTGAAAGAGCATTTCCCTTGAAATCTAGATGATCCTGACCTTGATAGTCTTTCATTGGGCCAAGTAGCTAGATGAGCTCTCCTGTTGTCGACATGAGCTTTCTTGATTCATATAATACTTGTCAAATGAGTAAGGTTATTCTTTATCCTTGTACACTGGGGTTATACATTGTTGGTTTCTTTCTGTGTTTTTAATCCTTGTAAGATGCCCAGTTGCTTGTGTGATGGGTGGCTGTGTCAATCATATAAACAAACAAATACTACCATTTTAATCCAACAGACGAAAGCTGTATATCACACAGCAAGTATGGCCCAACAAGTCAGAAGACAATCTTAACAGTATTATAAGAAACGACATTGGTTGAAACATAATTTCTCAGGCTGTATCACCTAGCTGTGAAATGGAGATACTGGGAAACAAGATAAGCATTTCATTGTTCCCGTTGCAAAGTTCCAAGGATGATATACTGAACAGAAATTCCATCATATTTAATTTTAAAGTTACTCAGTAAAATGCCACATGAAAGGCTCCACTCAGGACAGCAGCACAATGCGTTTTCTGATATCAGATGCATTATCTAAGGGCTGCAAAGCAGTGTGCCAAGATAAATTACACCTTGCACTATTCTGCCATCAGAGGTAGATAGCTCTTTTGATTTAAACTCGGGACAGGATGAGCCAGAGGCAGCAGCAGCACAAGGATATGACGGCAACATTTCAGCATTTGGAACTGCACGTTTCATCTGATTAACCTTATTATTGATATTTTATCCTTCTTAATCGGACAGCTATTCTGGATTTTAATTTCTCTCTGCAAAGTCTTGATTGAAACTGGCAAAGAACCCTGACTGGAAGCTGCAGAAATTCTGAGAAGGAGGAAAAGCCTATGGGATTGACCTCATATTTTACAGATTTTCAGGACAGCAGGCAATAAAGTTGCTATTTGATGAAAACCACAGCTTTGTCTTAAGTGAAGAATATTCAACCCATTCCTACAAAAGACACAGCTCAATACATAAGTTTTGCTGCAATTTTTTTCTGAGAACATTAATTTAGCTTGCTTTGTCAAACGAACAATCTTTATAATAACTGCCTCATCCTTTTTGGTGTATTGTTTTTCCATCCAAATGCTTTTTAAAAAAAAATTGGCATCAAAGGATGAGGGGAGCTTCATGGTTATCCATATTTACCAGGTAGCATCAAGGAAAGCTTTATTTGCAAGAGCATTGCTATATGAACTTGACTCTTTTTTACCGAGTGAAAGATACTTCAATTCAGGACTTATCTTTTCCAGAATATGCAAAAGCAGCAATTAGCATACAAACAAGAGTAATGAAAGCAATATAAACTTGACATTATATAATATAATCTTGACATATTGAAAAAAAATGAAGAGGCGTTAGCAGGGTATGGCCTGAGAAAAAAAAATCAAAATGGTGATGATGAAACTGTAATCAAAATTCTGGCTGGCTTGATTGCATCATTGTGGTGACTTCTCTGAAGAGATTCTTGAAAACATCTTTGTAGTTAGACCAACAGTTCAGATAAACAAGAATTTAGTGCACTGCAGATAGTAAAAATGGTTTTGGTGGTATCTGTAGCAGGAAAAGAAATTGAAATGGCAGTTGCAGCAATGTGGTTGAAGCTCTATCCATAGGGAGAAGGTAGGGTTTTGATTACATTGACACTATCATCTTGACACGGTTGAAATTGAAGAGACCATTCATTCACATTTGGTGGGAATGTGACATAAAAGTTTCAGATTTAGAGAAGATT